CCAGTAAAGGTTGATTTGAGAGATTTAAGAATCGTAATGGCATACATAGTGTGATAAGGCATGGTGAGGCTGCCAGTTCGGACCACAAAGCGACTGAAAAATATGTGCAGGAATTCAAGGAGTACACAGACAGTGAAGGACTGAAACCTGAACAAGTGTTTAATTGTGATGAAATAGGCCTGTTTTGGAAGAAAACGCCAAACAGGACCTACATTACTCAGGAGGAAAAGGCACTCCCAGGACATAAGCCTATGAAAGACAGGCTTACTCTGTTGATGTGTGCCAATGCTAGTGGTGATTGCAAAGTGAAGCCTTTATTGGTGTATCACTCTGAAACTCCCAGAGTGTTCAGGAAAAACAATGTCCTCAAGGCTAATTTGTGTGTGCTGTGGAGGGCAAACAGTAAGGCATGGGTCACTAGGGACTTTTTCTATGACTGGTTACACCATGCATTTGCCCCCACTGTGAAAAATTACCTAATTGAAAAGAAATTAGACCTTAAGTGCCTCCTGGTATTAGACAATGCTCCTGGTCATCCTTCAGACTTGGCAGAGCGACTTTCTGCAGAAATGAACTTCATTAAGGTCAAGTTTTTGCCTCCTAATACCACTCCAGGGCTGACTAATGTCAGCTGTCAAATGCTCAGGGCACACCAGGTGACAAGGAAAACTTGCACATGCGGTACAACATAGCTTACTAGCAAATGACGCTTTTCTGTGCAAAAATCAACTCTAAGCCATACATGAACATGTGAGAACACTGACTGAGAGGAATTAATTAACACATAACATATATCTTCTCTCAATCTTCTCGACAACACAACATATTGCTCATTGTGAAACTAACACTGTCGATATGACATCATGTGGTGATGTCAGGCATGACATCATGAGGTGATGTCGTGGGGTGACATTGCGAAGTAACGTCATGCAGCATGGTGATGTCAGCAGACGTTGCAAGATGACATCGTGATGGATGTCATGGGGTGACATTGCGAAGTGACATCATGCAGCATGGTGACATCAGCAGATGTTGCGAGATGACATTGTGAGAGATGTCATGGGGTGACATTGTGAGGTGACATCAGGGAACATCTTGGGTGAAGTCGGGCAGCATCATGGGTGACATCGTGAGGAGACGTCAGTGGAGTGATGCGGCAGCAGACCACAGCTTGTGGCTTGGGCTCTGGCTTAAACCATGTGGCTTGTAACTCCACATGGCTTCGTCCACGCCCCACATGGCTTGCTCCATGTGGCTTCATCCACACATGACTTCGTGATCCACATGGCTTCAAGTGACCTCTGGCACTCCAATACACAGCTCTGGCCTAGAATTCACATGAAAATTCACAGGAACAGCAGAGGGAGTGAGAGCAACGGTGAGTGGTGCATGGTGTGGTAAGCGTGGGTGAGTGGTGTTCGGTGGAGCCAGGACTGCACGCCTACCTTCCTCACCCATACACACACGGAAGATATTGCAGATTCTACCACACTGAGCATAGAAATCACCACAAACTCACCTCTGACTTGCTGAAATAGCCATGCAGGGCTGAAAACAACAGCATTAACATACAAGTGATGCTGAAAATGTGACTTGAAAAACAGCATGGGGCGCTGTGAAGTGCCAGGTGACATCACTTACATTTCTCGAAAAAATTTGGCAAATTTTTTGCCTGGATCCTGCTTTAACCTGTGTCTGGATGCTGAGACTTGCAGACATGACATCAGGATAACTCATTGAGAGACGGATGCTTCTTGTATGTGACGATGAAGTAAAGACGACTTCATTCCTCATCCTTCCTCTCTCCAGGCAAACACACTTGCTGTGAAGCACTGGTGCCACCAATGTTTGTGAAAAGGTTATTGTGTCACGTTGTTGCAGGCGGGGTTCAATGATAAGGCTTCGGAGGCTTCTTTCTTTATTTGCGATATCTGGGTACACAGGCAGTGTGTGCCCATGGCTCCAAGGGGCCGTGCCAGCAAGGGAGAAAGGAGTAGGCCTTGTTGACTCTAGGTTGTGTTGGCATTGAGTGAGAGAGAGAGGCAGGGTGATGCTGTTTCAAGTGGCATGCCCACTGAGAGGCTTACAGGTGGCAGCATGAGCATGGTGCAAAATATGAACTAAGCTGGCAGACAGCATAGGCTGTCTACACACACACATTGCCCTAAGACATGACATCTCCACTGCCTCCAGCCTTGTTCTTGTTGCAACATTCACCACCCATGCTTCACACCCATATAAGAGCATTGGTATAACTATACTCTCATATACATTTTCCTCTTTGCTTCCATGGACAAAGTTCTTTGTCTCCACAGACTCCTAAATGCACCATTCACCTTTTTCCCCTCATCACTTCTGTGATTCACCTCACCTTTCATAGACCCATCTGCTGACACATCCACTCCTAAATATCTGAATACATTCACTTCCTCCATACTCTCTCCCTCCAATCTGATATCCAATCTTTCATCGCCTAATTTTTTTTATTCTCATCACCTTACTCTTTCCTATATTCACTTTTAATTTTCTTCTTTTTCATACCCTACGATACTCATCCACCAACCTCTGCAACTTCTCCTCAGAATCTTACAAAAGCACGGTGTCATCAGCAAAGAGCAACTGTGACAACTCCCACTTTGTTAGATTCTTTATCTTTTAACCCCGCACCTCTTGCCAACACCCAAGCATTCACTTCTCTTACAACCCCATCTATAAATATATTGAACAACCATGGTGACATCACACATCCTTGTCTAAGGCCTACTTTTACTGGGAAATTATCTCCCTATCTCCTACATACTCTAACCTGAGCCTCACTATCCTCGTAAAAACTCTTCACTGCTTTTAGTAACATACCTCCTGTTCCATACATTTGCAGCATCTGCCACATTGCCCCTTATCCACCCTGTCATACACCTTTTCCAAATCTATAAATGCCACAAAAACCTCTTTACCCTTATCTAAATACTGTTCACCTACATGTTTCAATGTAAACACTTGGTCTACACCCCCCTACCTTTCCTAAAGCCTCCTTGTTCATCTGCTAGTATATAAGTATAAAATAATGAATGTTTTTGCTCTCCATAATTTCATAATTTATTGTTCACATTTAGTGAAAATAGCTGAATAACAGTCTATACAGAAACAGTTGACCTGTAAAATGCTCTTAATCCTTTCACTGTCTATCACGTAGAACTACATTGTTAATACTAGGGTCTGTTACATAAATCTACACCATGAGCTCAGCTCATTCAGATAAGCTGTGAGTGGTAAATTTTGGCCTAGATACAAGAGAATGGATTTGTGCGATGAGTGTTCACAGTATAAAAATAATTATGCCTCACATATTGCATGACGGAAAAAGCAAAACTCCAACCTTTTGTTTGGCTTAAAATAACAACTTTGAGGTATTTTCTAGGATTTTTTATGGCTTTATTGACAGTTTCTTGGTATCAATTGATACAGTTGAAGACATACTACTGAAATAGAGATGATTTTAGTAGGTTTCAAGGCTGGAAACAACTTGAAATCAGCCTCAAATGTAGTGGTGGTAGAGAGGAGGAGTAGGGGTCATCCTAGCTAGGAAAGTTTGGAGGGAGGGAGTAAAGGCTTGTACATGGAGGCAAGTGGTTTTTATGATTTGACATGTTAGTCCTAGGTAGTAGGTTGGTAGACAGCAACCACCCAGGGAGGTACTACCGTCCTGCCAAGTGAGTGTAAAACGAAAGCCTGTAACTGTTTTATATGATGATAGGATTCCTGTTGTCTTTTGTCTCATAAACGTGCAAGATTTCAGGTATGTCTTGCTACTTCTACTTACACTTAGGTCACACTACACATACATATACAAGCATATATATACACACCCCTCTGGGTTTTCTTCTATTTTCTTTCTAGCTCTTGTTCTTGTTTATTTCCTCTTATCTCCATGGGGAAGTGGAACAGAATTCTTCCTCTGTAAGACATGTGTGTTGTAAGAGGCGACTAAAATGCCGGGAGCAAGGGGCTAGTAACCCCTTCTCCTGTATAAATTACTAAATTTAAAAAGAGAAACTTTTGTTTTTCTTTTTGGGCCACCCCGCCTCGGTGGGATACGGCTGGTGTGTTGAAAGAAAGAATGTTGTTAGTGTGGACAAAGTAATATTTATGAAGGGATTCAAGGGCAAACAGTTAGCCGGACTTGAGTCATGGAGGTGGAAAGTAAAGTGCCTGTTATCTGAAGTGGTTATTGTGGCTTAGAGAGTCATCCGAACTGTAATCTCATGCCCTTCTGGAAAGACAGTGATTGAATGAGTGACAGTGAAAGTGTTTTCTTCTATGTTGCATCACCCTCCCTCAGTAGAAGTTATTATGCATTTTTAGCGAACGTTTTCTTTTATGCCTGCAACAGTGTCTAATTGTATATGTTTTCCAGAAAAGTGGTGAATAATTAAAAGACCTCTACATTAAGATAAACTAACAATGAGAAATGCATTAAAATATCATACAGGTATTTGTTATACAGTCTCTAAAAAAAACTTTGGGCATGAAATGAGTACCAAACAAAAAGAATTAAAACCGAAATGAAAGCAAAAGGTCAAATGACCAAATATTGATGGTTTGTATTTTCCAAGCTCTCTAATTAAGTTTATTGAACTTTGTTTTAATCATTCTTTCCAAACTTTTTTTTTTTTTTTTTTTTTTTTTTTTAAATGTATTGCATTTATACTTTATTTTGCTGTATAGCCCTTGTGGCTTAGCGCTTCTTTTTGATTATAATAATAATAATAATATACTTTATTTTATTCTTTTTATGTTATTGCCTTGTTCCCTGTACATACTTTCTTCAGATACTTAAGCCATCTTCAGATTTCAACAGATATAAAGGATCATGAAACATTATGTACATGATGTTTTTATCTGTTTGGTGTTAAATTTATCTTTATCTGCCTTTTGCTGAGTTCATAAAGTGAATGTTTGCTATTATATTTTCCTAACTATATTGGAATTGATCTCTACAGATTGAGTGGATGAGCGAGAAGTTAACTAAAGCATTTGACTCCCTGCGAACAAACCCCTTTAGTTTCAAGCACCTGAAATTCTGCCATAATCTCACTGACCTCAATCGTCTTCCGTCTCCTAAGGTAATCTTCTCATGTATTCTTACCTCTAGAAGTTTCTTGATAACTGTTGCTGAAATTTTTTTGTCATATTGTTTTTGCACTGTTAACCCTTTGAATGTTTCGGTTGTATATATATACGTCTTACGAGCCACTGTTTTTGACATATATATACTCATAAATTCTAGCAGCTTCAAATCAAGCAGGAGAAAGCTGGTAGGCCCACATGTGAGAGAATGGGTCTGTGTGGTTAGTGTGCACCATATAAAAAAAATCCTGCAGCACGCAGTACATAATGAGAAAAAAAACTCTGACCATTGTTTTTAATAAAAATGCCGACATTGTGGTCTATTTTCGTATAGTATTTATGGTTGTATTCTGGTTTTCTTGGTCTCATTTGATAGAATGGAAAGCATATTATAGAAATAGAGATGATTTTGATTGGTTTTACTATGAAAAGAACCTTGAAATGGAGCGCAAAGTAGGGGAAATGTTTGATTTTTGCCAATGTTCAAAAGTAAACAAATGATGTCATTTTCCAGTAAATGTCCAAGTAGCCATTCTAATATACAGTCATGAATGGGTTGACATTATTTATACAATTATTACAATATTGCAGTAGTCTGCATAACAGTAAATCTTCTATTTTTTGTTTGAATAAAAATTCAAAATAAAAAGCAAGAGTAATATCAGAGGGGCCTGGAGACATGACTGATGAGCAAAGAAAATGTTATTTTATATCCAGGAATGTCTGCATTGTTCATTCTGGACCCTATTTTGAAATTGTCATATTTTTTAATTTTCGTGAAATTGGCCAAATTGGAAATTCTGACCACGTTATTGGGTAGTTGAAATCAGTAAATGGGCAGTTTCTTGTACTCAATCAATAGAAAAAATGGAGTTCTAAAGAAATAGCTATGAGTTTGGTTAACTGGAACAATGGAATTAGCCAAAAATAGGGCTCAAATTGGGTGAAATCACCAATTCGTAAATATCGCCGAGGTCACTAACTTCGCAAGAGTGTAATTCCATTTTTTTTTCCATCGTTTTTTGCTCTTTTTTGTCATTACAATTGGGAAAGTTCTCAAAATCATTTGATAAAAATTTTTTTTTTTTTTTTCGGAAAATTTTGCGACACCGGAACCCCAGGTTTGGGGGTTGCACATAAAAGGGGTTAATGTTAGAAAATTCGTAAATTTTTGGGGTGTTTGAGTTTACAGAGGACACAAAAGATGAGCAGACCTTACGTTAGGAAACTTAATCATACGCATGTTCGTGGCAGGACTAATACCACTACAGTATTATATCTTGAATACATTAGATTTTGTTAAACTTTTTGAATATAAAAAATTACATTTAGTGCCAAAAATTAATTATGCAGTTCCCCCAAAAATCCCCAAAATTTGGGAAAAAATTACATACGATTTAATAGTGGGAATTCAAATAAGAGAAAATTTTTCAGTGATTCATTATACACACTAATCAACTGGCTGGACTAAATACAGTTTTCTGTGCTTGCTTTGCATGCATGCATGCCCTGGGTGTGCGTTTTTGGCAGTACTCCCCATTTTGTACTCACCATTTGAGGTTGGGGGGGTCGGCCCCGACTCCGGGCCCCGCCTCTTCACGATCGTACAGTCCTCTCCCGGCCTGAGCTTTATCATACCTCTCTTAAAGCTATGAGGGACCCCTCCCTCCACTACATCGCTTCCCAAACTTTTCCACTTACTAAAATTTACTCTGTGGCTGAAAAAATGCTTCCTAACATCCCTGTGACATCTGTTCTTCAGCTTCCAACGTGTCCCCTTTTTCTGTGTCCAATTTGGGAACTCCTGTCTTTGTCCACCTTGTAAATTCCTCTCAGTATTTTGTATGTCGTTATCATGTCCCCCCTATCCTCCTGTCCTCCAGGGCCCTCAGGGTTTATTTCCCTTTTAAACCCCTCCTCGTAGGGCATCCCTTACTCTGGGGCTAGTCTTTTTGCAAACCTTTGCACTTTCTCTAGTTTCTTTCATGTGCTTTTGGGTAGGGGGGTTCCAAACTGGTCCGCATACCCAATATAGGCCAACGTACACGGTGTACAGGTCCTGAATGATTCCTTATTAAGAGTCGGAATGTGTTCTGAGGTTTGCTAGCGCCCATATCTGCAGCAGTTATTTGGTTGATGTGCGCTTCAGGAAGGGCTGGTGTTATACTCACCCCCCAAGCTTTTTCCTTGAGGGAGGTTTTTAGTCCGACCCCCTAGACGTACCCTCTCGGGGCCTTCTTTGCCCTTCCCAATCTTCATGCTTTTGCACTTTGGGGGGATTGAACTCCCCCGGGCCATTGCTGGACCCGGTCTGCAGCCCTTTCCCGATCCCTTTGTAGTTCTGCCTGGGCTTCGATCGATGTGTGGTGGTGTGTGTTGTGTGTTGTTGTGTGTGGGGTGTGTGTGTGTGTGTGGGGACTCACCTAGTTTTAAATCACCTAGTTGAGGTTGCAGGGGGCGGTCCGAGCTCCTCCCCGCCCCCCGGCGTACATTTTACTCTCCCTGAACCAACTTTTTCATACCTCTGCTTAAAGCTGTGTATGGAGCCTGCCTCCACTACATCGCTTCCCAAACTATTCCACTTACTGACTACTCTGTGGCTGAAGAAAACTTCCTAACATCCCTGTATTCATCTGTGTCCTTTAAATTCCAACGTGTCCCCGTTACTGTGTGTGTGTTGGTGTGTGTGTGTGTGTGTGTGTGTGTGGTGTGTGTGGTGTGTGTGTAAAGCACCAACTGAAAAAACTCTGTGATTACTGATATACTTTTGAAGCTAAAATTTAATGAAGATGATACTATGAAGTAAGAAGATAACTTCAACAAATATATATTGGTAAGTGGAATCTCTAGTACTTGATTTGTTCATGTCTTTTTCTCACTATATGCAATAGTTGATTTTGGTGGATAGCTGAGGGCTAATTCATTCAGAATGAATGAAGTCATGAGTTAATTAAATGAGGTATAATTTTTTTTTTTAGCACATCAGTCATCTCCCACCAAGGCAGGGTAACCCAAAAAGAAAGAAAATCCCCAAAAAGAAAATAGCTTCATCACCATTCAACACTCTCACCTCACTCATACATAATCACTGTCTTTGTAGAGGTGCTCAGGTACGACAGTTCAGAAGTCCCTCCAAACTGCCAATATCCCAGACCCCTCCTTTAACCCTTTGACTGTTTCAGCTGTATATGTACAACGTCATATGAGCCAGTGTTTCGGACATATATATACTCAGGGATGTGTAATGTCACCATGGTTGTTTAATATATTTATAGATGGGGTTGTAAAGGAAGTAATGCTAGGGTGTTCGGGAGAGGGTGGGATTAATTTTGGGAATCAAATCAAAATGAATTGACACAGTACTTTTTGCTGTGATACTGTGCTATGGAGATCTAAGAAAATTGCAAAGGTTTAGTGGATGAGTTGGGATGTGTTAAAGTAAAGTTGGAAGTGAACATAAAAAGAGTAAGGTGATGAGGGTGTCAAATGAGTTAGATAAAGAAAAATTGGATATCAAATTGGGGAGGAGGAGTATGAAGAAGTGATGTTTTCAGATACAGTGGACCCGCATAAGATTCCCGAATGCGACCATAGTAAGTGATTTATTAAGTGCGTTTGTACGTGTATGTTGGGGGTCTGAAATGACTAATCTACTTCAAATATCCTTACGGAATAAATTTCGTTCATACTGGCACCGAAATACTATGGAGTGAAAAAAAATCATTAACCGGGGTCCACTGTACTTGGGAGTTGACGTGTCGGCGGATGGATTTATGAAGGATGAGGTTAATCATAGAATTGATGATGGAAAAAAGGTGAGTGGTGCATTGAGGTATATGTGGAGTCAAAAAACGTTATCTATGGAGGCAAAGAAGGGAATGTATGAAAGTATAGTAGTACCAACACTCTTATATGGGTGTGAAGCTTGGGTGGTAAATGCAGCAGCGAGGAGACAGTTGGAGGCAGTGATGTCCTGTTTAAGGGCAATGTGTGGTGTAAATATTATGCAGAAAATTCGGAGTGTGGAAATTAGGAAAAGGTGTGGAGTTAATAAAAGTATTAGTCAGAGGGCAGAAGAGGGGTTGTTGAGGTGGTTTGGTCATTTAGAGAGAATGGATCAAAGTAGAATGACATGGAAAGCATATAAATCTATAGGGGAAGGAAGGCGGGGTAGGGGTTGTCCTCGAAAGGGTTGGAGAGAGGGGGTAAAGGAGGTTTTGTGGACAAGGGGCTTGGACTTCCAGCAAGCGTGCGTGAGCGTGTTAGATAGGAGTGAATGGAGACGAATGGTACTTGGGACCTGACAATCTGTTGGAGTGTGAGCAGGGTAATATTTAGTGAAGGGATTCAGGGAAACCGGTTATTTTCATATAGTCGGACTTGAGTCCTGGAAATGGGAAGTACAATGCCTGCACTTTAAAGGAGGGGTTTGGGATATTGGCAGTTTGGAGGGATAAGTTGTGTATCTTTATATGTGTATGCTTCTAAACTGTTGTATTCTGAGAACCTCTGCAAAAACAGTGATAATGTGCGAGTGTGGTGAAAGTGTTGAATGATGATGAAAGTATTTTCTTTTTGGGGATTTTCTTTCTTTTTTGGGTCACCCTGCCTCGGTGGGAGACGGCCGACTTGGTGAAAAAAAAAAAAAAAAATCTAGCGCTTCAAATCAAGCATGAGAAAACTGGTAGGCCCACATGTGAGAGAATGGGTCTGTGTGGTCAGTGTGTACTGCATAAAAAAAATCCTGCAGCACACAGTGCATAAAGAGAAAAAAAAACTCCGACCATGTTTTTGGATCAAAACACCGACTTTGAGGTGTATTTTCGTATAGTATTTATGGATGTATTCTCGTGTTCTTGGTCTCATTTGATAGCAACAGAAAACATACTACAGAAATAGAGATGATTTTGATCAGTTTGACGAAGAAAACGACCTTGAAATTGGAGCTCAAAGTAGTGGAAATGTTTGATTTTTACCAATGTTCAAGACTAAGCAAATCACACCATACATCCAATACACATCAACTGGGGAGTCTAATATTCTTTCACTAGTGCACTGATATTAGTTATACCATTTTTACAATAATGCAGTAATCTGCATACCAGTAAATCTTCTATTTTTTTTTTTTTTGTGAATAAAAAATCGAGATAGAAAGCAAGAGTAATATAAGAGAGGCCTGGAGATGTGACTAATGAACAGAGGATATGTTATTTCAGTGCCAAGAATGTCTGCATTGTTTATTCTGGACCCTATTTTGAAATTGGCATCTTTTCTAATATGTATGAAATTGGCCAAATTGCCAATTTCTGACCATTTTATTGGGCAGTTGAAATCCATAAATGGGGAGTTTCTTGTATGTATTCAGTTGATAGGAAAAATGGAGTTCTAAAGAAATAGCTATGTGTTTGGTTGACTGAAACAATGGAATTGGCTGAAAATAGAGCTCAAAGTCGGCGAAATCTCCAGTGTGTATACAGTGGTCCCTTGTTTATCGTCGTTAATCCGTTCCTGGAAGTGTGACGATTATCGAAATAGACGATTTTCGAATCAATTTTCCCCATAAGAAATAATGTAAATACAATTAATCCGTTCCTGACACCCAGAAGTATTAAAACAAGAATTTTTTTTTTTTACATGAAATATAGATGTAGTACATAAGCAATACAATGGGACATGATGAATTAAACATTAATAGCATAACACTTGCCTTTATTGGCGATTCTTCTTAGTGTATGGAAGATTGGAGGAGGAGAGAGATTGGATTAGTTACTGTTTGGAAGGGGAATCCCTTCCATCAACACCTCAGGTACCAAGTCCTTTTCTGGGGTTACATACTTCTCTTCTCTGTTTCTAGCTTGAGAGTCACTGGAGTCCTGTCTTGCAAAAAACTGTCCAGAGAGCTCTGTTTCTGGTGTCTCTTTAAAACTTCCCTAAAATGGGCCAAGGCTCTTGTCACTGTACAGGTTGCCGATATGGCTTGCAACATCCTTCTCAGGGTGATGTTTCTCCATAAATCTTTCCATCCTACAACACATTTCAAAAATTGCCTTAATTTCTGAAGAAGGCACCTTCTTCCATCTCTCTTCCTCCTCCTCTGCATCAAGATTCTGAGCTGCGATCTGTTGCAGTTCCTGCTGAAGCTCTTGCAGCTCCTCAGTGGTTAGCTCTTTGTTGTGGTCCTCCACTAACTCTTCACATCTTCCAAACTCACATCCAACCCCATGGAACTCCCCAATGCCATAATAGATTTTACAACTGACATAGGCTCATCAGGGTCAGCCACAAACCCTTCAAAATCCCTCTTGTGAACACAATCTGGCCACAATTTTCTCCAAGAAACAACAGCTTCCTTGATTTCCTTTTTCTTTGCCACAATGGAAGATATGGTTGTATGGGGTTTGATATACATCCTGGCCAGTTCAGCCACATGTACGCCACTTTCATATTGTTCAGTTATGTTTTTCTTAAATTCAATCGAATTTCTCACCTTCTTTACCAAAGGCTTGGCACTAGGAGCTTTCTTTGGAGCCATGGTAGCTTATTTAGCACTTGCAAGCACTAAAATAAATGGAATACAGTGGACCCTCGACCAGCGATGGCATCGATTAATGATAAATCTGACTAGCGATACATTTTATCGCAAAAATTTTGCCTCGATTAGCGCTAAAAAACTCGACCAACACTATTCCTTCCGTCTGAGACGCGTCCACTTCTGGCCAGTGTTTACAAGCCATCCAGCCACCGCGGTCGCTTCCAAGCATACAATCGGAACCTTTCATATTATCACAGCCTTTTTAGTAATTGCACCTGCAAAATAAGTCACCATGGGCCCCAAGAAAGCTTCTAGTGCCAACCCTACAGCAAAAAGGGTGAGAATTACTATGGATATGAAGAAAGAGATCATTGCTAAGTATGAAAGTGGAGTGCATGTCTCCGAGCTGGCCAGGCTGTACACAAAACCCCAATCAACCATTGCTACTATTGTGGCCAAGAAAACTGCAATCAAGGAAGCTGTTCTTGCCAAAGGTGCAACTATGTTTTCGAAACTGAGATCGCAAGTGATAGAAGATGTTGAGAGACTGTTATTGGTTTGGATAAATGAAAAACAGATAGCAGGAGATAGCATCTCTCGAGCGATCATATGTGAAAAGGCTAGGAAGTTGCATGACGATTTAATTAGAAAATGCCAGCAACTAGTGGTGATGTGAATGAATTTAAGGCCAGCAAAGGTTGGTTTGAGAGATTTAAGAATCGTAGTGGCATACATAGTGTGATAAGGCATGGTGAGGCTGCCAGTTTGGACCAAAAAGCAGCTGAAAAATATGTGCAGGAATTCAAGGAGTACATAGACAGTGAAGGACTGAAACCTGAACAAGTGTTTAATGGTGACGGTGACACTGACAATGTTGTGAAACACGTTAGGAATGTCATAAAGGAACGGGAGGTACAGGCCTCTATGGGCAGATATGTTGTGCGACAGAGGTCCAGTGACTCTCAAGCTGGTCCTAGTGGCATTAAAATAAGGGAAGTAACCCCGAAAAAGGACTTGCCACCTCAAGTCCTAATGGAAGGGAATTCCCCTTCTAAACACTAAGACCATCAACACACTCCCCTCTTCCCATCCCATCAATCATCACCAGATCTTCAATAAAGGTAAGTGTCATGTAACTGTGCATGTCTTCTTCAGTTTGTGTGTGTTAAAATTAATATTTCATGTGTTAAAATTTTTTTTTTCAATACTTTTGGGTGTCTTGCACAGATTAATTTGATTTCCATTATTTCTTATGGGGAAAATTAACTTGACTAACGATTATTTTGACTAACGATGAGCTCTCAGGAACGGATTAATAGCGTTAGTCGAGGGTCCACTGTACACCTACCATCTGACTTACGATCGAGCTCGGTTCTGAGAAACCGGTCGTAAGTCAAAATGGACGTAAGTTGAGCTTTACTACTGAATATCAACATCACATTTTTGTAATGACTTAATTTTATTGTTTTATTTTGATATTTCATGTTTTACTTTACTTTTTATGCTGTTAGTACTGCATTTATACTGTAAGGTTTAGGATAAACACTGTGTACATCACAAATAGTTGTTTATTTCCCAGAAATTTGGCAAAAAAAAACACGGTCATAAGTCGAGTGGTCGTAAGTCGAGCAGGTCGTAAGTTGGATGGTAGGTGTATGTATTATGAAATATTTCGTATGAACAAGTGAGGGGACCGTCGCGCACTGGTAAACAATGGCACACTGGCTGGGTAGGGAGGCTGAGGCGGCTCAGAGCCGTGAGTATGCGTCCAGGACGAACGACGATTAGTAAGTCAACCGACCATTTGCGAGCCAATGTTTGGACGAAAATAACGTGACGATTTCCGAAAAGGATGACTATCGAGCCTGACGATTATCGAGGGACCACTGTATATCGCTGAGACCGCTAACTTTGTGGGAGCATATTTCCGTAACTTTTTGGTCAAATTTTGTACTTTTGGTGTAATTAGCATCAGGAAAAGATTCTCTATCATTTCATAATTTTTTTTTTTTTTTTTTTTTTCCCAAAATTTTGTGACCTAGAATGGCAGTTTCAGAAATGGGCTTGCAACAGTCAAAGGGTTAAAATTCAGGCATTGTACTTTCCATTTCCAGGACTCAAGTCCGGCTAACCAGTTTCCCTGAATCCCTTCGCAAAATATTACCCTGTTCACACTCCAACAGCTCGTTAGGTCCCAAAAATCATTTGTCTCCATTCAATCCTATCTAACATGCTCATACATGCTGCTGGAACTCCAAGGTGGAAGAGGAAGATCTTGATTCTCTGCTAAGTAATGCTTCTCTCTCACTCTGACCCATACATATAAAGAGATTTACCTCATCTTTCAGCTGTTATACAGTTTTTACCTTATTGGATGATTGAGAACTTTGACTGAATCATGAGAGCTGCCATAAACTCATCTGAGTTGTAGATTTAAAGAATAATGAGATACTATTGTTTTTGAGGATGTTTCATAGACTGCCAAATCATAATGCTGGCAAAAGAAAAAACCATTACATATGTTTATAAATTTCTTACATAGAATTGATTTTTCAGACACTTGTGACACCCTTCTGGAATGTTGAAAATGTTTTATTGTCATTTGGTAGGTTGTGTTGGCAAGCTTTCCTGACCTGGAATGTGGATATGCACGAGAGCTGTTTGTACAGTGGGCCACCAACCCCAAGAACACTATAATCTTAACTTCACGGTAAACTTGTGCATGTGAAAGTTTCATATTGAATTAAGTTCTCTATTCAGTAACAAATCAGTTGCTTTGTTCCATAAATAATCACTGATTAAAGATAATGGGACAGTTTAATAACATTTGTGAAGCCTCCTGGGCATGTAAGAGTTTTGGACATTACTTACGCTGAAAAATTTACAAGTTGGTTTATTTGTTATGCTTTTAAACATTGTACAGTATTTTATATTTTTTACAAATTTCTCCATATGATATCTTTTCTCTTTCCAGCCACATACATAACAATGCACCAAATAGTCAGTCCCATTAGGAGCTTTTTTTTGGGGGTGGGGTCTTCATTAATTTTTCCATATCTCTTTCATTTATGTGAGTGAGTATACTTTTCACTTGATCCTTTGCTGTTATTTTATTTATCATTATATTTCTTCCATATTCCATTGTTGGTTAAGGCCAAAACTACTCAGTTTGTCAAAGAGGAATAAGAAAAAACAATAAGAAAGTACAGAGTGGCATAATCCAAAACTATTCAATAATTTATAGTTCCAAGACACTTCAAATCTCTTATGCTGTTGGAAATAATATGCATTATTTAAACTGCACAATGGACTTTAAAAATCTTACTTCACTTTTCATAAAGTTTTATTACTATACTGTACATTATATATTTTTCATGTCCTTACTATTTAGTTTTACTAAATTATTCTGAATTAAAAAAGAAGTTTTTTCTAGGACTGGACCAGACACACTGGCTAGACGGCTTATAGAAAATCCCCACATTAGAACTTTTAAACTTCTAGAGAAGAGAAGAATGAAGTTGGAGGGTCCTGAACTGGATGAACATTACCGACAGAAACGAGAAGAAGAGGAACAACACCAAAGAATCAAAATGGAAGAGTAAGCTCCAGTTCAGATTTTGCTTTGTTGATTCACCTTTTGTTTAAGACTTTACAGTGGACCCTCCATTTTTGTCGATCTCCGTTATCACCAATTTTGGTTTTGGCTGACTTTTTTCGTTGATTTTTTTGGTTCTGTTTTCGTCGATTACCTTCGTTTTTGTTGATTGTATGGAATCTGTCCAGTGCCCAGCATGCAGACAAAGCTGCCTCCCACACCATTGCCAGGTCATACGAAACATTTACTACTTGTTTATTGTGTGTGACTGCTAAATAAGCCACCATGGGCCCAAAGAAAGCTTCTAGTGCCAGCCCTTTAGTAAAGAATGTGAGAAACACAATATAATTCAAGAAAAAGTTTGTAGAAAAATAGGAAAGTTGTGGTGGTAGAGGGTGGTAGTGATGGTGGTAGAGGGTAGTAGTGGTTGTGATGGCGGTAGAGGGTGGTAGTGGTTGTGATGGTGGTAGAGGGTGTCTTCTTCAGTAATTCAGCTATTCTACTAACTCCTCCAATGTTGTTGGAGTTATATAGGGCTACAGAAAACACCTCAGCTGCAGCCTTCACCAACATTATGTACGGCTTATGCTCACAGTGGCCCTTATACACCCAACAACAACAGAGCACCTGTTGTTACATACATAATGACTTATTTTATTCATTATAGAGTATATGTCATGTTTCTATGTTATTAATATTGTTTATTATGTCATATTAGTTGAATTGCGATAGATAAATAAGCCATAGAGTTGATATTAGTGTCATATTCTCCAACAATAAACTTGCCTCCCTCTCCCCTCCACCTGGTCTGCCATACACCAACAAGCCTTTTCAATAAAGGAAAGTGTGATGTTAAATGCTCATTTATACATTTTATTAGTGCTTTATATTTATTTGTCATTCTTTTCTGCATGTAAATCTATGTTTAAGTTAGGGAAGTGGCTAGGGAAGTGACCCTTGATAAGGACTTAGTACCTAGAGTCCTTATGGAGGGGGATTCCCCTTCCAAACAGTAACTTCTCTTCCCTCTCCCCTCCTCCCTGTCTTCCATCCATCAACAACAACCTTCAATAAAGGTAAGTGTCATGTGTAATGTTCATTCTTTTGTGCATGTAAATCTATCTTTAAGGTAAAAAAAAAAATTTTTGTTGATATTTCTGGGTGTCTAGAACGAATTAATTCCATTTACATTATTTCTTATGGGGAAAATGGTTTCGGTTTTGGCCAATTTCAGTTTTGGCTGATGGCTCTGGAACGGATTAAACACGAAAACCGAGGGTCCACTATATTCTGGAATTAAGGACTGCATGTAGTGTAATATCAATAAGGTTAGTAAGGTTAGTCTTGTAGATAGATACCACTAAGGGAGGTACAATTTGTTTTTGTAACATGCTGGCCACCTCCCACCAAGGTAGGGTGACCCAGAAAGAGAGAAAAACCCAAAAAGAAAGGTAAAAAAAACCTTCATCATCAGTCAACACTTTCACCATCAATCATACATAATCACTGTCTCTGCAGAGGCACTCATATACAAGTTTAGACATCCCTCCAAACTGCCAATATCCCAAACCCCTCCTTTAGCCCTTAAATGGTCCGAACGTATATATACATTTTTTCAACATCTGAAAGTATGTAAAAAAATATAGATCTTCTTTTTTGTTTTACATTTGAAAACGTGTAAAAAAAACTTTTATCTACATTTTTTTTTTTGTTATATTTGAAAATATGTAAAAAAAAGTAGATCTACTTTTGTAGCACTATGAATTTGAACGTTGATCTGTTTGGAACGTTTAAGGGTTAAAGTGCATGCATTGTACTTCCCATTTCCAGGACTCAAGTCCAGCTAATCAGTTTCTGTGAATTTCTCCACAAAATATTACCCTGCTAACACTCCAACAGCTTGTCAGGTCCCAAAAACCATTCATCTCCATTCACTCCTATCTAACACACTCATGCACTCTTGCTGGAAGTCCAAGCCCCTCTTCCATAAAACCTCCTTTACCACCTCTCTCCAACCTTTTCAGGGACAATCCCTACCCCACTGTCCTTCCCCAACAGATTTATACGCTCTCCTAGTCATTCTGCTTTGCTCCATTCTCTCTAAATAACCAAACCACCTCATCAGCCCCTCTTCAGCCCTCTGACTAATAATGTTAGTAACTACACTTCCTAACTTCCACACTACGAATTCTCTGCATAATATTTACACCACACATTGCCTTCGACAGGACATATCCACTGCCTTCAGCCGCCTCCTCGCTGCAGCATTTGCAACCCATGCTTCACACCCACATGAGAGTGTTGGTATCACTAAACTCTCGTACATTCCCCTCTTTGCCTCCATTGATAACTTTGTTTCCACAGATACCTCAATGCACCACTCACCTTTTTTCCTTCATCAATTCTATGGTTAACCTCATCCTTCATAAACCCATCCACTGACAAGTCAACTCCCAAATATCTGAAAACATCACTTCTTCCATATGCCCTCCCTCCAGTGTGATATCCAATTGTCATTTGCCTAAATCGTTTGATACCTTCATCACCTTACTCTTATCTATGTTTACTTGCAACTTTATGCCTTTACACACCCTCCCAAACTCATCCACTAACCTTTGCAGCTTTTCTTTAGAATCTCCCAAAAGCACAGTATCATCAGCAAAAAGTAACTGTGTCAACTCTCGTTTTGTATTTGATTTCCCGCAATTTCATCCCACCCCTCTCTCCAACACCCTAGCATTTACTTCTTTTACATCCCCATCTGTATGTTAAACAACCATGGTGACATTACACATCCCTGCCTAAGACATACTTTTACCAGGAAGTAATCTCCCTCTGGTCACAGACCGGGCCGCGGGGGCGTTGACCCCCGAAACTCTCTCCAGGTAAACTCCAGGTAAACACCCTAACCTGAGCCTCACTATCTTCATAAAAAGTCTTTACAGCATTTAGTAACTTACTACCTGTTCCATATACAGTGGACCCTCGATTAACGCTATTAATCCGTTCCTGAGAGCTCATCATTAGTCAAAATTATCGTTAGTCAAGTTAATTTTCCCCATAAGAAATAATGGAAATCAAATTAATCCGTGCAAGACACCCAAAAGTATTGAAAAAAACATTTTTAACACATGAAATATTAATTTTAATACACAAACTGAAGAAGACATGCACAGTTACATGACACTTACCTTTATTGAAGATCTGGTGATGATTGATGGGATGGGAGGAGGGGAGAGTGTTGATGGTGTTAGTGTTTAGAAGGGGAATCCCCTTCCATTAGGACTTGAGGTGGCAAGTCCTTTTTCGGGGTTACTTCCCTTCTTCTTTTAATGCCACTAGGACCAGCTTGAGAGTCACTGGACCTCTGTCGCACAACATATCTATCCATAGAGGCCTGTACCTCCTGTTCCTTTATGACATTCCTAAAGTGTTTCACAACATTGTCAGTGTCACAATTAAACACTTGTTCAGGTTTCAATTCTTCACTGTCTATGTACTCCTTGAATTCCTGCACATATTTTTCAGCTGCTTTTTTGTCCAAACTGGCAGCCTCACCATGCCTTGTCACACTATGTATGCCACTACGATTATTAAATCTCTCAAACCAACCTTTGCTGGCCTTAAATTCACTCACATCACCACTAGTTGCTGGCATTTTTCTAATTAAATCCTCATGCAACTTCCTAGCCTTTTCACATATGATTGCTTGAGAGATGCTATCTCCTGCTATCTGTTTTTCGTTTATCGACACCAATAACAGTCTCTCAACATCTTCTATCACTTGCGATCTCAGTTTCGAAAACATAGTTGCACCTTTGGCAAGAACAGCTTCCTTGATTGCCATTTTCTTGGCCACAATAGTAGCGATGGTTGATTGGGGTTTTGTGTACAGCCTGGCCAGCTCGGAAACACGCACTCCACTTTCATACTTAGCAATGATCTCTTTCTTCATATCCATAGTAATTCTCACCCTTTTTGTTGTAGGGTTGGCACTAGAAGCTTTCTTGGGGCCCATGGTGACTTATTTTGCAGGTGCAATCACTAAAAAGGCTGTGATAATATGAAATGTTCCGATTGTATGCTTGGAAGCGACCGCGGTGGCTGGCTGGCTTGTAAACACTGGCCAGAAGTGGACGCTTCTCAGACGGAATAGAATAGTGTTGGTTGAGTTTTTTAGCGCTAGTCGAGGCAAAATTTTTGTGTTAAAATGTATCGCTGGTCGGATTTATCGTTAATCGATGTCATCGTTGGTCGAGGGTCCACTGTACTTGCAACATCTGCCACATTGCTCCCCTATCCACTCTATCATATGCCTTTTCTAAATCCATAAATTCATTGAAAACTTTCCTACCTTTATCTAAATCCTGTTCACATATATACTTCAATGTAAACACCTGCTCTACACATCCCCTACCTATTCTAAAGCCTCCTTGCTCATCTGCAATCCTGCTCTCTGTCTTACCTCTAATTCTTTCAGTAATAACCCTACCATACACTTTACCTGGTATACTCAGTAAGCTTATACCCCCTATAATTTTTACAATCTCTTTTGTCTCCGTTCCCTTTATATAAAGGAATTATACACGCTCTCTGCTAATCCGTAGATACCTTCCCCTCTTTCATACATTTATTAAACAAAAATACCAACCACACCAACACAGTATATCCCCCTGCTTTTAACATTTCTGTCATGATCCCGTCAGTTCATCTGCTTTACCCTCTTTCATTCTACGTAATGCGTTGCGCACCTCCCCCACACTCACATCCTGCTCGTCTTCACTCCTAAAAGATGTTATACCTTCCTGACCAGTGCATGAAATTACCGCGTCCCTTTTATCATCGACATTTAAAAGTTCCTCAAAATATTCCCACCATCTACCCAATACCTTCAACTCTCCATCTACTAACTCCCCTACTCTGTTTTTAACTGACAAATCCATTCTTTCCCTAGGATTTCTTGACTTGTTTATCTCACTCCAAATTTGTTTCTTATTTTCTGC